CTTGTTGGGCCTGTCCTGTAGTAGGTGATTTCTGGGTACCCGTCTTGCTCTGTCAATCTGTTTCCTCACTTCCCCAGGTGGGTATTGTAGTTTTACGAATGCTTGATGAAGATCTTGTAGGTGTTTGTCTCTGTCTGAGGGGTTGGAGCAAATTCGGTTGTATCTTAGGGCTTGGCTGTAGACAATGGATCGTGTGATGTCTTGGATGGAAGCTGGAGGCATGTAGGTACGTATAGTGGTCAGTAGGTTTCTGGCATAGGGTGGTGTTTATGTGACCATCACTTATTTGCACTGTAGTATCCAGGAAGTGGATCTCTTGTGTGGACTGGTCCAGGCTGAGGTTGATAGTGGGGTGGAAATTGTTGAAGTCCAGGTGGAATTCTTCAAGGGCCTCCTTTCCATGGGTCCATATGAAGAAGATGTCATGAATGTAGTGCAAGTAGAGGAGGGGCACTAGGGGACGAGAGCTGAGGAAGCGTTGTTCTAAGTCAGCCATAAAAATGTTGGCATACTGTGGGGCCATGCGGGTACCCATAGCAGTGCCACTGACTTGAAGGTATAAGTTGTCTCCAAATCTGAAGTGGTTGTGGGTGAGGACAAAGTCACAAAGCTCAGCCACCAGGCGTGCTGTAGCCTCATCAGGGATACTGTTCCTGACAGCTTGTAGTCCATCCTCATGTGGAATATTGGTGTAAAGTGCTTCTACATCCCTGGTGGCCAGGATGGTGTTTTCAGGAAGAACACCAGGATATAAGCCTTTGTGCTTCAGGGCATAAGTCAACCATTAACTGAGGCAGGTTAGAAAGACACTTTCCCTATGGGTGTGTTTGTTTCATAATTGGCCACTGTGGACTTTCTTGCACCTTTCTCTGAAACAGACAGGCTACCAGTCTAGATAAACCATTAGGATGATCCCATATGGCAAGTCCTTTGTTCTTAAAGATCATATTCCAAGAGATATCGCTACAGAGAACTTGACTGGTGATTCTCATTTGTTTCCATTTCACTGTGTGGTAGCTTACTCTTTTTCTTGACCATCAGCAGATCTTTCTGAAGAGGAGCTGCAGAAAGAGCAGCAGGAGAAGAAGGTGGAAGAGGATGATGAGGAAACTCTACAGAAAACTCGAGCCTGGGAGGACTGGAAAGACACACACCCAAGGGGATTTGGCAACCGAAAGAACATGGGCTGACTGTCGAAGGGATGAGTAGAGCAGGAGAGTCTCAACTGAGTGCACTCCATTATATAGCAGGAGTATATAGCTGTACATATGCAGGGTGGTCCTTGGTTTCTGCTGGGGGCTCACCTGTGGAAGGGGAGTGAACAGGACAGTTTGTCTTGATTTACATTAAATATCAGAGTGCACTCGTCATGGAGTGATGGTGATGTGGCAAAGCTTCATCAAGTGGGGGGGCCTTTACTTGAGGGATCAGAGCAAAACTTCCCTGATTCTCCTAATCAGAGGGAGGAGTTAAGCAGAAAGTCTATTAATTTGAAAGTGGCTCTTTGTATTGTTGATGGCTGTATTTATTTTTCTCTATTTTTAAAAGAATAAATTTCCTTGTGCTGCTTAATCCGTCACGTAAAGTCTCTTGCTCCTGGCCCCATTCTCTACCCACGTTTCTTTATCATGCTGGTGTACCCTTCCGAGGCCGTGGACAGTATGGGAAGTGAGAGTTTAGACAACAATTTGTAGGAGCAAGTTATCAGTTGAGGCTCTGAAGGGGGAGTTCATAAACATATGATTCATCTTTTGTGAAGGGCTGTAGTTACAAAGAGGGCCTCCTGTGCAACCAGGAAGTGATGAAGCTGCTTCCAGTGTTGGATATCTTTATTCTTCCCCAGGTGGCTCACAGAAATGCTGTCTTTCTGTGTAAAACAGGCAAGATGTCTCAAGGACACTGGCTTTAAATGATGGTAAAAGACCCAATACCACTGCCACAGTAGGGATGTCAGTCTCCAGCACTGCTGCAATCTCCATTTAAATTCAAAATGGAGACTTTGTGTGGCTATAACACTTCTCTAGAGAATTCTCTAGAGAATACAAAAGAGCTGCCTGTGTCTTGAGACCCACTTCTGACCGATAACTGAAATAAATGTAAATATCAAGGGGAGACCAGAACTACTTATGGGGCTGCCAGGGGCTAGAATTAAGAAATGAGGTGATATTAAATGGAAATTCTAGGCCGTTCATTGAGACAAGCTGTGTGGTGGAGGCCTCCTTGTTTGGATTGTTTAAAGCTAGTTTAGATAGAATACATAATGTAAAAAAAAAATGCTTTAGGGAATAATAATCCTGTACTGGCTGAGAAGAGGGGATAGACTAGGTAACATAACTGCTGTGTCACATTTGGCATGGAGTTGCAACTGCAATAGTGACTTTACTGGGTAGGGAATCTAAAAAGAGAAATTGCTTGCCAGCAGCTCTGCACTATACTGCCCCCTCGCAGGTTTGTCAGGGATCAGTAATGGTTTCTGAACCTGCTCTATAACTGTTCTGCTATTGAAAGCCTTGTTACAACTATTTGGCTTAACAATGTTGGCTAAATTTCTTGTCTGCTAACACGGTCAGTCCTGCGTACAGAGCAGGCATTAGGTATTTGCCACCTCTGATTTCCAAGGTTCAGCTTGGAATTTCCACCCACAGCCCAATTAATTTCCTGTGTCTGATTACCTTTTTGGGAATGAAGTCTGGCTTTTAAAAAGGCTTAGTGCTCATTCTTTATATCTAGTAGTTGGTACCAAAAGTAGCTAGAGTTCTGGTCCTGCTTGGCAGAGTCCTGGGTGGAGAGAGGCTCAGTACTGAGTACTGAAATTCACTCTTACAAAAGCAATTTTTTTAGGAGGGAAGATTCTCCATGCTGCTGCTGTCAATGTGGTCAGTGCTGCACCTGGACTTCCCTTATCTCTACACTCAATACAGGAGGCTCTGTACTGTTTTGGCTGACCTAAAAACTCAGAATGGGATCCTAAGAACTTTTTTTAATGAGAAAGTAACCCTGTGCATGGACAAACCCAGTTTGCCAGAGTTGCATATTTGTGTCTTGGAGTCTTTGCTGCAAGCATGTGGCCCATGCACACAATGAAATTGTTTTGGTCATAGTGTTTGTTGGAGCTGTATCTGCTCTCTAGGTGTCCTCCAGCACCAGGGCATAAAGGATGGAGGAAGCCCAATTGTTCCTTAATTCTTTCTTGCTGCAGCAAGATGGAACCCTTGCAGTGTTTGCTTCTCTGTGACTCTATTGTAGTTAGTGTTAGTTTAGTTGGGTTTAGAAAAAAGGGGTTGTACCCATGTTACCAGTACTAATTAGGCCTTTGGTCAGCAGTTGAGACATTGAAACTATCTACTTCCCCTACCCTAGGCAGAAGGGATGCAGGAGTGCCCTAGCACACCAGAAAGGGTAGCCTCACCATCTTCTCCATTAGGACACAGTAGAGACTTATCTCCTGCTCATCCCACATCCCCTCCATTGGGTCTTTCCCTGACTTCCCAGTGTGGAGCTGAGACTGCTCTTAAAACAGGAGATGGCATGTATCTCACAGGGAGCAAGTCCCTGGCACCCTCCTCATTGTCCATCAGTCCAGTATCCATATGCTTGAGTCATGGTCCTGAGCTAGGCAGCCACATACTTGCAAGCCAACATCCTTTCCCCCTCTTTTAGGGTTAAATCCTCTTATCCTAAAAGGCAGTATAGATTTCCCAGCCAGGTCAGTTAGTGCAACTATAGCTCCTAGAGAGAGAGGCAAAACAATTGATCCTAGTAGCAATTTTGATGAAGCAGTCAATCCCTCTATGCTCGTGGTTTTCAACCTTTTTTCATTTGCGGGCCCCTACAAAACTTCAAATGGAGGTGTGGACCCCTTTGGAAATGTTAGACATAGTCTGTGAACCCCCAGGGGTCAATGGACCACCAGTTGAAAACCACAGCTCTATGCCTTGTCCAACAAATGACTTCAACGTGTTCCAAGACCTGAAATGTATGGTCAAGACCCTTAACGTTCCACTGGAAGTATTGAAGAGAAGTCACACAAGCCGCTAGATATTCTGCACCCTTCTATACCTGATAGATTCATCATGTCTATTAACAAGGGATTGTTAGGGCCTGCAAAGGACAAGAGTGGGATCCATGTGGACAAATACTTGAAAAAGTAACTGTTCTCTCCCTTACAGCAATGGTGGTTCTTCAGCATGGGTTGTCCACATGGATTCCACAACCATTTTTGCTGCTGCTAAGGAGTGCTACACTTCTTCTATCCTGTATTGGCAAAAGAACTGAGGGGTGTTGGGCACACTTCACTCTTTATGCCCTCAGTGTGGAATAAGGCCATGTAAGGTCCAGGAGTTACACCAGTGGCTGCTGCTGGCCAAAATAACCTGATCTCGCATGTATGGGGTGCATGTGCATCAAGAGAAGGAGCCATATGGACAAAACCTCTCAAAGAACCACAGTTACTGTAAGGTAAGTAAGTGTTCTTTTTGACTGACTCTCTCAAAGTAGAACACAAAACTCTGTCCCAGTTGTTTAGGCTAGAGCAGCCTAGTATGTGCAATGGAAAAACAAGTTTAAATCTTCACAATGCATGGTGTTGACTTGGTGGAAGATGCTAACTTGTTAAATCTCATCTATAATTACCCGGATTAGATGTAATTTTGAGAAGAGGATCAAAATGCAATACCTTTTCCCAACTTCTCAAGACCCCTGCTAGGAGCCAGTCTTAGCTGGAGGTTCATCTGCATGTACAACCTAGTCCAAGGGAAGCACTGGGCTGCAATAGCTGTGAGGTTAACACCTTGTATTTAGAGGTGGAGACCAATCAGTCTGTAGTGAATATACACTAGTGACCTATAAAAATCTAGAAGTCTGACAGAGTCCTGTGGCACCTTATAGACTAACAGATGTATTGGAGCATAAGCACAAAAGCTCATGCTCCAATACATCTGTTAGTCTATAAGGTGCCACAGGACTCTTAGTCTGGATCTGTAAAAAGCAACAAACACGGCTACCCCTCTGATACTAGAAGTCTTACAGACTCAAATCCAAACCGGTCTGTAGCAAATAGAGGGTAAAAAGTAACCTAGTGCTAGCTTTCTTCAGAACTATAGATACAAATTCCAAGCAATCATTAGCAAATGTACAGCATGCGTACTTTCTCCTTGGTTTGTCAAGTTTCTCTCAACTACCTATCACACAACAGTCTAAAATTCCTCCTCAATTACTCTTTTTTCAGTCCTTTTTAAATCCAAATATAACTTCTGACGCAAGCTGTGGTTTTGGTGCTAGAGCTGCCTCTTTTGGCAATAGATGTTCATGTGCAAAGGCTTGTATTTTTATCAGTGCTTGAGAATGTGACACACATTTTCTGTTTCTATTGGTGAACGTAGCTTTAGCAGCAGTAATGGTTAAAGTGGCATCCATTCTTCTGAAGTTAGAATTTGCCCATTTAGAAGATATTTTGCCCTTTTTTAACAGCAAACGTGGAACTTCTCTTCTTCAGTCCTGAAATTCACTCTAATTTACAAAAGCAGATTTTTTTTTAGGAGGGAGGATTCTGCATACCTGCAACTTTCTCCATGCTGCTGTTGTCAGTGCTCCACCTGTTAAAACTGGGGAAAAGTGTAAGGCAGAAGAGGAAAAATAAGTGTGCAGCTAGGTACTCTGATCGCCTAACCAGCAACAGCTGAATACCTAGCAGGGCACAGCCGAGAGCGAGAACATCCAGCGGCAATCTCATGCAGTGCCTGACCCAGAACGTCTTTCCCCAACTCTGTAGCACTTAACATAGTGTTGCCTGGGAACCTCTTTCAATAACTATATACTATACCTAGGAGTCCACTCCAGCACCCAGAAGGCAGTAGAAAGATTCCTATTGATTTCAATGGGAGTAGGATCAATCCTGGGATACCACATCCCAGAATTCTGATTCTGGCTTCAGACGGTCTTCTTTCTGCTTCTGTGGTTCTGGTATGACTTCTAGTAAGCCTTGGAGGAGATGGGTGATAGGGAAAGCATTCAGAGTGTCAAGGATGCCTAGGACAAGGAATCAGATCTTCTACGTCAAGGTGTAATCTTTGCTACAGTGAGCAGGAAGGAGCCTTTTCCTCTGTGAAGCCTTGACCAATTTGCCAGGTGCATTGTAGAAGGGAGTGAGGCAGTTATGCCTTCTTGAATATATTGGGTATTGGCTACTGGATTTAACGGTCTGAGCCAGTGTGGCAAATGCTACTTTCCTGTAACAAATGGTGATTTGAGTTTGACTTTTTCACATTTTCAACTTGCCTTTAATTAGAATCCCACCACTAACGTCTGGGCAGTAGTTTGTGACATGCCCAGGAAAGTACCATTCTATGCAGGGGGGAAGACAAACTCAGGCAAGTGTCTTCTGATGAAAATATCCAGCAATGTGTACATTTGTATAAGTGGGTGAAGGGTGCGGGATCCTTTTATGGAAACAGCCACCTGGGACTTTCTGCTAACTCCTTCTCCTTCTTAATACCACAGGGTTTTCTTCTTGCTTTTTCAAATGAAGGGCAGGGTTTGTCCACCACCCCTCCGGTGCGGGCAGTTTACCTTGGGCCTGACAGTGGAGCTTCAAAGCAGTTGGACACACCATCAGTTTCACAGGTTGAGATTTGCAAACCTGCCTTTTAACCTGCGGATCCAAAGTCTGGGAGAGAACTTGTTACCAACATGAAAACAATTATTGCAGCCTATTTCCAAAATCGTAGTGGTAAGAAAATCGCAAAGCGTATTTGAAGTTATTTATAATGCTCTAGACTTGCCAGTTTCTAGTCCATTGATTTAGTATTTGTTTTGTTTTAGGCTGTTTAATAAAAGGGGAAAGCTTTTTATAAATATTGTGTAGCAGCAGCAGGGCACAAATCCTTCAAAGTACTCTGCAGGAATGAATTCTCTGAAATTGACGTTGCAAAGGGGCATCAGGTAGTTCACCAAAATAGGGGGCTGCAAAGGGTGGCAAATTCTCCTTGCCTGAGTGCTAATTCAGACCTGTAGTGCAAATCAAAGGAAAGCATCTAGCAACTCTTACTCAGGAAAGATTCCCGCTGATTTTAACAGGAGTGAGAGCTGAGTAAAGTGTGTTGGATTTGGCCCTCTGTCAACTAAAGGGCAGAACTGTGGGATATGAGATTTCTGGGAGATGGTGTGATACATTGGGGAGTCTGTCTGGCATGCATCAGGGATGAGTGATGGATTTGGCAGAACTTGATTAAACTGCTCTGGGGAAGAAAACTAATGCATTCAAACCCAATGAGAGCTCCCATATTCATTTAATTTCCACTGCCCTGTCCATGATCTGGATTTGTCTCTGGAAGAGATGAACCCCCAGAATTGGATGGCTCTGACACAAATCTGGATTTGGTGGCTTTTCTGTGACCTCCTGTTCCTGGCTTTCCTCTGATCCAGCACAGCAATGTATGCCGGGGCCCCTCTGTTCTAGCTATGTAGATATGTGTCTTGGGGGTTCTTAAAATTAGAGCACCTGCCAAAGTTATTTTCCCAGCCACGGAAAGGCCAGCTGTGGCTCTGCAACTCTTCTGAGTGCCCTGTGAGCCAGTTGCCTTGTGTCAGGCCTTGGTGGGACGGGCCATTTGGCACATGGAGGCTCTCGCAGCTCAGCCCAAATTCCTCACACAAACACTGAGCCCTTCCGTGGCAAGGGGGGGATGGGTGTGCACATGGAATTTGGAGTCTGACTCCAGTCCAGAGGGGAGGAGGGATAGAAAGCCCCTCACTGTGTTTGCTGTACCATCAGTGGGAGTTAATCGTTCACCAAGGTTAGCTGGGGGGAGGAGAACTGAAGCAAGTTAGTGCTGTTGAACTCCCTCTTTCGGGAATCAAGGCCGGGGGCAAGGGCGAGGTCCCCTTATCAGTCATTGCAGGACAGGACCGTGAGCCTTACACATCCAGACTCGTTTGTCACTAGTTCAGACGCTCCTGCCTGCTGGGACGCTTTAGACGGGTGCGTACTTGCCCCCTGCTTCCCATGACTCCTAGCTCAGGCTTCCCCAGCACACATCTATAGGAAGGATGGCTGCTGCCTGGCATGCAGCAGAGTGACCCCAACCTTGGGCAGAATCTGGCCTCCCTGGGAGTCTGGCCAGCTTTGAAACTTGAATGTTTTGCCAAACTCCTTCCCCATGAGGCTGAACAGGCCCAGGGAGACTCCTCCCCAGGCTCTGGAGGAGGCACCATTCCCCTCAGGATCTTGGAACGGCCTAGGATGTGCTTCATTCACCTAACAGCACACCCTTATCCCCATCCCAGCACGAGTCCCACTGGGCCTTGCCCTCTCTCCCTCTCTGCTCTGAGCTTCACATTCATCTTCTGCACCTGTTGTCAGCCTGGGCTACTGGAGACAGCCACTGAGGAGTCAGCCCTGTGTGTGTATGTGAAAGGGCCTGCAGGTGCGCATGTATGGGGAGTGGGGTGACTATATGTGTTGGTGCGTGGAGTGGTTTGTGCATGTGTGTGTCAGTGCATTTGATGGGGGGGGGAACTGCGTTTGTGTGCATGCATGTGAAGGTGTAGGTGTGCATGGGATTGTGTGTGTTTTGGGGGGTTGTGTGTTATGGGAAGGGAGAAGAGGCTCAGCAGGTAAGTGCAGCATGGCCAGCAGCAGGCTCAGGAAGTGATCGATCACAAGTGCAAACCAAATGGTGTGTGCGCTTTGCAGGGAGCCGTGCCAGCATTCAGGCCGCCCTGCATACTCTGCTCACCGTGCCCTGGCCCTCGCAGCGGGAGTTCCGAGCATGCATCCAGCTCCTCTCAGTTCTACAGTGGGTCCTCAGCTTCTTGCTGATGGGTGAGTAGACTCAGCTGGCAGGAGGGGGCGCGCCGTTCTCCGTCTCTCTCAGCAATCAGATTCTGCTGTGGGGTTGTTGAGATTCTGCATTGGGGTCCGTATTATTTGTTACACTCTATCTCTAGCACCATGGTTGATGATTTCACAAAAATTCAGGACATTGGAAAATCCAGCACTAAGGCCTGAGGGAGCCAGAACAGCAGCCTTCCCCAGGGGAAGGAGGGGTGCAAGATATCTCTGCTGGTCAGTGGGGGAAGGATTTTCAGATGAGACCTCAGAAAAATACCCCATGACACTTTTCATAAGAGCAGAGGTCTGTGTGATCCTGAGCCCAATATCTTTCCCCTCACGGCTGTACAACGTGGTGTGCCCCCTTTGGCTGTCTGCTTCTCTCCTTGCCTTCTGGGGCTGCGTTTAGAGCTTGCTGAAGGACGAAGTGCTTTAGGATAAAGGCCCCTGTATAGGTGGGGTTAGCGGCATTCAAATTAGGCCTGGCACCAATCCACCTTCTCAGGAGTTGTGTGACACAAAGGGCCTGCTTTTTTTTTTTTTTTTTTTAAGTGCTGAGCACCCAAAATGAATGTCAGTGGCCCAGAATGTTTATACTTTCTCCTGCTGTGCACCCACCTCCTCCCCGCCCTCCAGAAAAAGCTTAGATTGTGGATTGGGGTGGGAGGGTGGGGCAGAGACTATCTCCGTATGTGTTTGTACAGTGCTTAGCAGGACAAGGTCCTGATCCTGACTGGGGCCTCCGAGCACAACCACAGATAAAATAGCTCAGAATCCCAAGCAGGAATTCAGCTCCTTCAACTTGCCTCCCACTTACAAAGGGGATGGGAAGTGCCTTGACGCGTGTGCTCTCGCTCTCTCACACACCTGCACTCTGTGACAGGAGACTTCCTGTTACCTTAATTATTGTATTCTGCAGAATTCTGTTTTGGAACTGTGACTTGCAAATCAGATCAAGTTAGTGCTTGTTACAGACTAATTGATTTAATAGGGAAGGGAGGATTAGTGGTAAATGACTTCAGCTTTTCAGGAGACTGAATTTGTAGTTGAGACACGGGACTTGTCTACACTGGCACTAATATGCACCTGAACGAGTTCTACAAATGTGGGATTAGTTTTCCACCATTAGACTCAGTGGTAGGCAGGCTGCATTTTGAGGCCTCAGGTGGGTCTGCAGATGCACAGTGAGGCACAGTCCCACCACGTGTGGTTACTGCAGTCTAAGCCTCTCATGCTCTTTCCATGTGCTGGAAGTGGGCTGTAGTTTGAGTACACGATATACATGGGGGGTCAGAGGGGCTTGGGTTCAGCAGGCTTTCCTATATCTGAAGCTGTTTGGCCAGTCATAGTATCCCCTTTAGAAGCGTCTCCTGCTATCCAGAGCTGATGCTCAGCTTTGGCAGTGTGTCTCTGACCTGGGGAGGCTCCCACACTGGCTGCATCTATACTAGGAAAATTGGAGCCTGTAATTCTCCATCAGAGTGGCTCCAGCATAGACCAGGCTCTTGAGGTTTTACTACTGTGGTGCCTAGACAGGCTGTACAGTTAAAGATGACAGTAGTAAAAAGGCCTGAATCTTGTCTACAACACAGCCTCTTTCCAGGGAGCACCACAGGTAATTAATTAGGGCCCCAAATTTTACTAGTGCAGCAAAGCCAGGCTGGCTATTGTTCTGCCCTTACAGATTCACCGTGGAGGCTTAATGGGTCTGGATTGGTTGGTCAGTGCTGAAACACAGCCAGTCAGAGAACACACAGCAAATAAGCAGGCATTTTGGCCTACAGCCAAGTGCTGGGAATCAGATATTTTCTGGGGTGGGTGGGAAGATCTGCCCAGTTCTGAATTGGCCCAAAGAGGATGGGATTCACTGTGGGCACTCATCTCATCCCACATTAGAACTGGGGCATTATGGGATGCTGCTGTGAAAACTCAATCTCTAGAGAACAGGAATTGATGGGGTAGGGCGTATTTCTATGCAGGGATATGTGAGCTAAACTCTTGCTTGTGATACCCTCAGGAATCGTCTTCCTGTTTCTCCTCGTCTATTTGGTTTTCACCAGTTTCTGGCCAGTTTCTGCTCTATACTTTGCCTGGGTAATCTTTGACTGGGATGCACCGGAGCAAGGTATGGGAAGGTACAGCCTAATTTACTGCGTACATGTATGCATAGCAGGACAGAGGGGAGACAGACTTGCTGGAGGATTCAGATGTCTGTCCAACCCCTTGCACGTATGTCCTTGTCTGAGAGTATGATCTGTATATGTTGGTCTCCAGGCCCAGGTATTTCCTAAATCACACTCCCGCTAAAGGCATTTCCCCAAGAACAAGGGAAATAGGTCCAGAGACACGCACAGGCAGTAAACCATAAAGTTTACGGCAGATTTGTGCAAAGATCTTTGTTTGCTCTTTGCTGTTTTTTTTCCCCCCTTCATCTTCCAATATTTACTTGCTTATTTAATGATCTTTAGTGACTGGCCCTTCCACAACATCTGCTCAGTGTCACGCATGGTTAAAATGTGACTGACAGCACCCGGGCCAGAACTCTGTTTAATTTCATTCTGTTTCTCTGTATTGTAACACCTAGCAACATTTACAGCAGCAGCGGGGATAGTCCAGAAGCACAGACTCCTGCCAGCTGAAATTAAGGAGACTCTCCTTTATCTGTTAGCAATACAGAGCCTATGACATAGTTCTGGGCAGTTGTGATTCCTTCTAGTAGGGCACAAATATGCACAGAGAATCATTACATCAGCTGGGGCATAAGCAGCCAGAGCAGGTAAGATTCCCAGAAGAGCCAGCATCCCATTTACCTCTTCATTTCTCTGGTCTAGTGACCAAGACAAACTACAGAGGTGTAGGGGTTCCCCAAAAGAGTCAGTCTTTCCAGCAATCCCCAGTGTAGCGGTGATGGATGGTCACTGTATGAAGTCTCGTTAGGGACTACACTCCAAAGTTGCAGCAGTCTGTGGTGGTCCCTTGTCATTGCCTGCCTGGATTGGGGCACAGCTATTTTTGCAAAATATCAGAGGGGAAAGCCAGTTAGTAGTGGGAACTTCTGCAAAAGAATAGGTCTGCTGTATGACACTAGAGGGCAGCAGCCCATAATATATCCAGGAGATACTGGCCCTGTGAGAGGATACTCCTAGAACTGGCTTTTCATGGCAACTTCCACGGTTTCAAAAGCTGTTTTGTTCCTCACTGCAATAAAACGACCTTTTGGACAACTGATCTAAAACTGAATTGTGCTGAAATGTCTGTTTTCACATCAGAACACACGTGTCCATCCTAGTGAGTAAGGCGCTGGTCTCGGTGTGGGAGACCCAGGTTCTAATCCTTGCTCTGTGCCTGTTTCAGAGCACAGTTTTTCATCCCAGATCACTCTGAATCAGGCAGAGCAGGGTCTTGACTCTGGGTCTCCCACATCCCAGGGCAATACCCTGGCCATCAGGCTGCACAGTACACTTTCTCCTCCCTCCCCCAATCTTTCCAGTGAAAACTGCACATCTCTGCGAACTGTTACAGCACAAAAATCAGGTCGTCACCTATGTTCTGACTAGCTCTGGTCTGCTGGGAGGCAAGGGCTAAAAGGGAGAGGAAGTGACCACACTCCCAGTGGAAATGGAGTCTGTCCTCTCAGTGTCTGTGTGAGATCCTTGCCCCCACTCCTACTCCCTCTTGTGTGGTTTGCAGGTGGGAGGAGGTCGGCGTGGGTGCGAAACTGGCCTGTCTGGAAGCATTTCCGAGATTATTTCCCTATTCAGGTAAGCCGTGCTGGGCAGGTGTGCCATGCCTTTGCTATCCATACAGTATGTGCTGAGTCCTGTACTGTAGAATTTCGACTTCCTGCAAACCTCTGGACAAGCTTCTAAGTCTCTCAGGCATCTCTGTTGGGCCCCTTGTCTGAATAAATCTCTCATGTCTCTCTGTATACGTCCATCCTGCAACCTGGCTGCTGGCAGCTTCATGGGTGCCCAGTACATCCACCTGCCCCTGAAATTGCACATGCATTTTTCTGTAGATGCCAGGCCAGACCCTGCATGGAGCTCCCTGTAAAGCCAAGATAAATTTGTTTTAAAAATCGATGGTGGAATTAACGTGACCTGCTCCTACCCCCTAGTGGACATTTGAAACAACAGCCACCTTACTCTTCACAGAATCTTTAGGATCACATCCAGTGCAGATGGTTGCCCCCAAATCAAATCCCAGCCCCCACAAAATTCAGCAATTCAATAGCTGTTCAGCACAGAGATTTATTTTGTGTGAGGGAGTAACTACTGAGCACAGGTCAGCTCAGGAATGAAAGGAAAGGCTGCTATATGAAGAGAGAGTAGTAAGACTGACTTTTCAGCTTGGAAAAGAGACGATTAAGGGGGATATGATAGAGGTCTATAAAATCATGACTGGTGTAGAGAAAGTAAATAACAAAGTGTTATTTACTCCTTCCCATAACACAAGAACTAGGGGTCACCAAATGAAATTAATAGGCAGCAGGTTTAAAACAAACAAAAGGAAGTATTTTTTTCACACAACGCACAACCTGTGGAACTCCTTGCCAGGGGATGTTGTGAAGGCCAAGGCTATAACAGGGTTCAAAAAAGCACTAGATAAATTCATGGAGGATAGGTCCATCAATGGCTATTAGCCAGGATGGTCAGCGATAGTGTTCCTAGACTCTGTTTGCCAGAAGCTGAGAATGGGTAACAGGGAATGGATCATTAGAGGATTACCTGTTCTGTTCATTCCCTCTGGGGTACCTGACATTGGCCACTGGTGGAAGACAAGATACTGGGCTAGATGAGGCTTTGGTCTGACCCAGTATGGCTGCTCTTATGTTCTTATGTGTTGATTTGTCCATCTGGGTGTGGGTGTGTGCCAGGTGGGGGTTGCCATGTTGGTATTTATCCAGCACTGCCCATCTGCAGTCATGTGTAAAGACCAGTGACCCAACCAGGATCCTCCTTCCCTCTTCCCCCACCAGTCCCTGCCCTCCCCATTGATTGTGTCTTCTCCCTCTAGTTAGTGAAGACTCACAGCCTCCTCCCCGGTCACAATTATATCATTGGCGCACACCCCCATGGGATCCTCTGTGTTGGGGCCTTCTGCAACTTCATCACCGAGTCCACTGGCTTCTCTGAGAAGTTCCCCGGCATCAGACCCTTCCTGGCAACGCTGGCTGGCAACTTCCGGCTGCCTGTCTTCAGGGAGTACCTGATGAGTGGGGGTGAGCATGCTCAGGGAGTGTCCCTCGCACAGGTCCAGAGAATCACACCAGAAGTGTTGCAGATGTGGCTAATACAAGAGACCTAGGAGATCTGAAAATAGCCAGCTCCTCTTTTTTCCTTTCCATCACTGATCACCTGAGTCCCTTCCCTCTGCAGCCTCTGGCCAAAGCCCCTTTCAGATCCTCTGGATACTGAATCTACTGCTGGCGACGACATTCTGTTCTCATGTGCTTCTGTTCTTTTTTTTTTTTCCCCCTGAGACTAAAGCAAATTTTAGTACTTGCCAAAATGTCAGCTTGACATTGCTGCCTGGGCCAGGCTCAGTGCAGTCAGCGGCTCACTGAGATTCTCCCACAATGCTCTGCTACTGCACCTCCATCCTGCCCCACACCCAGCACTACTCCAGCCTGCCCCCTCCCACTCTGCCATTGCTCCTCTGCCTGGGTTGGGTGATGGAATTCCATGCTGCTAGAAAAGGAAAGACAGGGGAATGCCATAGAGATCAAGTATTTCATGGGCTACATAGGTCTTTCCTAGGGATTGTTCCTTGCACCATCCCTTAGGAAAGCTCAAAGACCTGAGCAACTGTTATCTTTCATGCAGCCCATACATGAAGTGTGCCCTGCTCTACGTCCTCCACTCCCCGAGTGCCAATTCCCAGGCTCAGTCACAGAAAATGGCACCACAACAGCATCCCCTGGGAAACTGCATTCTGACTGGCACAGCTGGTGCCTCCCCGGGCTGCCAGCTAACATGGGCGTTCAGGAGCCAGGGTCCAGTGAGTGCCCATTTTGGCCTCAGCTCTGCTGATCCCCTTCGCCTACTGCATCCTCCAGAGCAAGAGAACCCATGGCTCCTGGGTGGACACCAGGTGTCGCCCTTATTCCACGTGTTGGGCTCCTGGGCAGGGACATAGGTCTGCCTACAGCACGGGGCTCTGGGCAGGGCTCAGTGCTCTTAACTTTGTGCTGGGAGGAAGGAAAGAATAGCTCCCCTGCACCTTCTGCATGCCTGAGTGGAGGGCACCCGATCATCCACCTGCCCTCATTTGTTGGGATGTTCTCCTCAAATCCTAACTGTAAGCAGGTTTCCAAGCCCCCCAAACTCATTCAGAGATTGGGGCCAGGAGTCTGTCCCCCAAGTCAGCTGGTGAGTCAAGGGGTTCTCAGATGGGGCAAGAGCTGGTTTCCATTGCAGTTCTCCTCATGCTCCCCTGGTGCTCTTCTCTTTAGGCCTGTGCCCTGTGACACGCCAGGCAATAGGGTACCTGCTCTCTCAGAATGGCAGTGGAAACGCTGTGGCCATCGTAATTGGAGGTGCGGCCGAGTCACTGTCTTGCCAGCCAGGAGTCACCACGTTAATCCTCAAAAACCGCAAAGGCTTTGTTCGGATGGCGCTGCAGCATGGGTGAGTATCATCAGCCAGATGCTGTCCTGAGAGGCCTCCAGCTCCTCTGGTAGCACCTCCAGGAAATTGGGCTGGGGCCAGCCACCCCCAGGACCTGCCAAGCCAGCCACTTGACCAGGAAACAGGGCCTGGCACTCTCCCCTGTTTGGGATCTCCCCAGGCACCCCATCCCTGGACTACCTTTCAGTAGGACCCAGGAGATAGGATAGTGAGTGTGCCTCAGCTGCTACTTACTGTGGCTCCCAAGGGAGGCTGGTTCAATATGATCAAGTTTGTAGCAGGGCCCCATGGTGCTGAGGTGCTGTAGCGAGCGTAGATGCTGGAACTAGGAGTCCTGGGTGTGTGGCCGCACCCCCTGGCTTGAAGTGGATTCCGTTCTATACAGGGTTTACAGTTTGGTTCAGTGGTGCTCAGCACCCCCACTAGACAAATTGTTCCGCATCCCTGGTAGCGAGTGCTACCCTGGGAGGGGGGGGTGCTGACTGCAGAGGGCACTCATGCTACAATGCTTTCTCCCCCAGGGCGCACCTGGTTCCTGCCTTCTCCTTCGGTGAGAACGACCTCTTCCGGCAGGTGGTTTTTGAAGAGGGCAGCTGGTTGAGGGGCATTCAGAAGAGGTTCCAGAAGCTGGTGGGCTTTGCTCCCTGCGTCTTCTATGGACGGGGTTTAACCTCTATCCAATCCCGAGGCTTCCTGCCCTACCCGAAGCCTATCACCACTGTCAGTGAGTATCCCCTTACTCTTTTCCTATGGCTTTGGCTGCTCCAAAAGCCCCGGCACTGGTAGGTGGTGGGGGTTGGGTCCTGGTTGTCTAAGCCAGCATTTTTCAAATGTGGTTAGAGTGGCCGCCTGCGGCCACCAGCGACTTTTCTTGTGGCCACAGTCTCCTGGGCTGTGATTTTGGGGGGAGGGCAGGGCAAGCAGCAGCCCCTGCCCCTCCCCATTGCTCCTGGATGCACCGCCTTGGTGTTGGATACTAGAGCTGCAAGCAGGGGTTGAGCCCTGCCCCATCTGGAGACAGCTGGGGCACAATGCTGGAGGAGCAGGCAGGTGGTGAGGCTCAGGCTTTGGGATTCACCCCTGGGGTGGTGGGGCAGCAAGCTCTGGCCATTGGTCTTTGGGCTCCAGTCCTGGGCTCCGGCTGCACAGCTGCAGATCCCAGGATCTGGCCATGTAGCTTTGGGCTCCATCCCCCAGCCATGGCATTTTGGCTCTGGCCATGGGGCATCAGGCTCTGGCCCCTGACTAACTCCCCCGGCATCCCCAACCCAATCACCCCTGGCTCCTGCTGGCTCCCCCGACATACTTACTCAGCCCCAGCTTAATTTGTCCCCAGGTTTGTTGGGGCTGAGTAAGTCTGCTGTGAAAAGTGATATTTGTATGTTTAATATCACTTTTAAAAACAGACTTATTAGCTAGCAATAAATAAATTACAATGATTTGAACATGTATATTTATTTGTTTTTCCTGAAGGTAATTAAGTATTTTAGGAAAAAAATTGAGAGTGGCCACCAGCAAGAGTTGGTGGCCGCACTCTGAGGCCACCAAAAATTTGTCCTGAGAACCCCTGGTCTAAGCTGACGGAGGGTTGCACTTGCCATTTGAGTTTGTGGCAGGTGTGGAAGCCAAAAACTCATCATGATGTGAGGAGTGAAATCCAGCAATTGGCAGAGTGGGCCCAGGGAGCTTGTGAACCTGCAGTTGGTGGTTGCTATCCCAGGGCACACTGTGTTCTCTTCCTTCCCTCTCTGCCCCATGCCTGTGGCCAGGTGCTGTTGCTGTCTCTGTGGTACTACTGCCCGTATGTAACCGTTCACTAGGAAGAAAGTTTGGCATTAGCATTCCAAGGCCCAGTTCATTACGAGGGGCAGGGAGTCCTCCCAGCTGTACCAGCTGGTTTATTCCAGGTGCTTAGGATTCACTCTTCCACCCTCTTTCTGGCTCTGGCAGTAGGAGAACCTGTGACGGTGCCCAGGATCAAGGAGCCAAGCCACGAGACGGTGGATCTGTACCATGCTATGTACATCCGCTCCCTGCTCAAACTCTTCAATGACCACAAAGCCAAGTATGGCCTGTCGGAGGCGGACGAGCTGAGGATCTTGTGACTGAGGCCAGAGAGAAGCCAGGGGACTTTGGGCAGCCAAGCCCTAACTCTCAAGGGCTGCCTGCTCTTGGAGGTGGGAATGGCAGCTTACCTGGCAGGATGGGGGCTCTCAGGGACATACTGTTCACCCCAACTACTGCTTGTCCTCTACCCCAGTGCCTTACTCACTTGTCCCCTTGGTGCTGCCCCAGCCTCTGCTTCTGTTTGTTCCCTCCAGAAGATGAATGAAGGAAGGAGGGAGCTCCCTGCTTGTCATATCCCCGCGTTTCCTGTGTGCTTTCTGCTCACTCCCAAGGGCAATGCAGTGAGTTGGCTTCCTCAACTCCCAAAGCCTTCTCAGGGAAGGGGAAGGGAGGAGCACAGGAAGGACAGGTGCTGGGGCTTGGAGGGGATGGGGAGTGTGCATGTGAGCAGAGGGACATGGGGGAACGTGTGTGGGGACATTTCCCCTTTGCCCGGACCCTGCTGTCCTGGAGTGAGATGAATAGTAGCTTTGTGCTGCTGCTAATGGAACAGAGGAATGCAACCCTGCAGGCTAAACTCTGCCCAGGGCTCCAACTCTGGCTAAGAAAGAGGGAGGGTGAGATGGATAGAATGGGGGGGAAAATGGAGGGAAAGTCCTTGATTGTAACAAATGTGAAAAACAAGGTTCCCAGAGGGGCCTGCAATGCCATGCAGGGTGTGTTGTGAGGGGCAGGGCCCTGAGACTGAGGGCCTCTGAGGAGCTGGCTGCTGACTCAACTCCTTGCCTAAGGAAAGCTGGGCAGCTATAACTCCTTATGGCCTTGTGTCTGTCCCTTGTGCCCATGTAGAATGGAGCCTCCTGGGAGGGTTTGTCCTTCCATCTGTTTTGCTGGCAAAGCGGGCATGCCAGGCTGTTTACCCCCGAGGGGACATGTCATCCCTGCACTGGGTTGGAGAGTTCTCCCTGTGGTGATTAGCACAGGCAGCTTTGCCTCAGCCTTAGAATCAGGGCAGGGCCATGGCTTCCCTTCCCACAGTGAGGAGGGATGGACAGTCAGGGGGTTCATGGGAAGCTTGGTGAGACGCTGGCCAGGACATAGCCAGGATGCACTAGATTCTCCCTTTGCATCTCCCCTTCCCAACACATCTTGTTCCCTGCCTGAGCTGTGGCCATCCCTGTGTTTTCCCCATGGCTCCCGTATGTGCCACCTACCACTTTCTTCACTCGTGGGTCCCAGCCCCACAATTTCTTGTCCTTGTCTCTGTGAGTTGGCAGCAGGAAAGGCCAGTGCATCTGGAGCTGCATGTGGAGAGAAACCAGGTCCCAGAACAGCAATAGCAGAGTCTCTGGGGAGACCGCACCTGGGAGATGGCAGTGATTTCTGGGCACCATGTGACCAGAAAGAGATTGATCCTAGGAAGGGGATGAGAATAGAGCAAGAAAAACTACCAGGAGCCTGGAGGGAAAGCCTAGAGTGACAAAGTGGGGTGGGCCAAGTCTGCAAACCTGACAAGTGTGTCCCCTGAGGGAGAGCAAGAGGTTAGTTACGAGTAAAGGCAAGTGTAACTAGGAGGTTTGAAGGCGACTGATGTTGAGAAAATACAGACTCAGGGATAACTTCCTGTCAGTGAGGTTACTGAGCTTGGGTGTTGTCTCCCAAGGGAAGGGGTGTGAGCCCCAGGACTTGGGGCATTTCAGGCTGGGTCTGACAAAACAGTAGGACTGGACTGTGTTGCAGGGGCCAGTCCTGCTTTGGCTTCAGGGCTGGATGGGACAATCTAATGGGGCTTGTCCACCGAGCTCACCTCAATGATTTTGTGTTGAATACATTTTTATAAATCTCATACTGACATGGCCCATGCTGTGTGAGAAGAAGGCAATTCTGCAGGAGGGGAAGCACCATGCGGTAGTCCATACACATACATACATACGTGCCAAGAATCTAACCATGCATGTGCCTAGACATCCCCCTCCATACCCAGACATGTACACAAACACACACTGCTCCTTGCACATGTGAAGGTTCACATACACAGATACATACACCCCTCCGTGCACGAGCTCAGAGCACACACGCCGAAGGGCTTTCAAACACACCTCATTGTTCTTTGGAGAAGGGAGGCCGCTGCATGTTGTTCCAAGGATTCAATAGGATTCAGCCCAAAGGGGTGCACTAGCCCTTCTCTGCTGAAGACAGCTCTCTTGAGCAGTGAACCTGGCTCCCCCTGCAGGTCCTTCCTGTGCTGGTTGAGGGGGCAGCTAGCCTGCTGCTCCCACTATACAAATGAAAAAGGGTCTATCACACGCCCCTGTGCATGGTAGCTTAATGGAATGGCAGGGTTGCTCCTGTGGTCACAGCTTCTATTGCTGGGCTCTCTTCCAATTGCCTGGGGCCCTGTAATTCTGCTCTGAGCTACCTCAGTGGCTCTCAGCTGTGCTCTGCTGCCATGCCTGGAGGCCCAGAATGTAGGGCTGTGACACCTTATGGGAGCACTGAGTGGAGGGTCCTGGCCTAGCTCTAGGTTCTTTGGGGTGAGAAGATTCTAATGATGCCAGGGGAATGTAACTGGGTTGCTCCCCAGCCAGGAGCTTCTGCACCCAGCCCCTGGTGCTCAGCTCAGGTCCCTGGGGTTAGTGCAGGGGTTGGCAACCTTTCAGAAGGGGTGTGCCAAGTCTTCATTTATTCACTCTAATTTAAGGTTTGGCGTGCCAGTAATACATTTTAAGGTTTTTAAAAGGTCTCTTTCTAGAAGTCTATAATATATAACTAAACTATTGTTATATGTAAAGTAAATAAGGTTTTAAAAATGTTTAAGAAGCTTCATTTAAAATTAAATTAAAATGCAGAGCCCCCCCAGATCGGTGGCCAGGATCCGGGCAGCGTGAGTGCCACTGAAACTCAGTTCGTGTGCCGCCTTCAGCACCCATGCCATAGGTTGCCTAGGCCTGGGTTAGTGGTTGTTTTTTTTCCCAAGCCGAGTGAGTAACATCAGGCAGCTGGTACCAGCGTAGGGAAATCCCAGCATTGAGGCTGGGATTAACCTCCCTGAGGAGCTCGACTCCATAAAACAAAAGCTGCTCTGCTACTGCCATCACTTGTGAGCAAAGCCTCAGCCTGATGCCTGCTGGAGCAGCTGCTGAGGGCCTCCGAGTGGGGAATGTCTGAGGCCACCCGTACTGCAGTATTAGAGGCAACGTAGTGCATGGATTAGCCCCGCTCATGGGACATGCTGGTACTAAACCCTGGAGGATGCAGATCGGGCACAGCACAGGCAGGTACTGCTTGCCAGGGAGTCTGTGAGGAAACGGCTGAAACAGTGGTAATAATTTCCTCCATTTCCAAAGCTCCCAAAGCAATTTGCATGCCTACAGCCCCACTGAAATTCAGCACCTCTGAGGGGGAGATATCAGCACCTGGTGCAGAGCACCCTGCACAGGAGTGAAAGAACCAGGCCAAGAATAAACAGCTAGGAAACTTGTTTCTGGCCTTGGAGAGTATTCAGGGGTAGAGGGCAGCTTCTGCACCTGCCCCTCCAGCCTATGCAAGCAGAGAGGGTGATGGCACAAGACCCATCTGTTAGCTTAAAGCTTTTGCTTCACTGTAGGGAAAGTTGGTGATTGGATAGTGCCCAGTGCTGGGCCCAGGCCAGGGGCA